GATACTTTCCTTTTAAAAGCATACACAGCAGTGATGTTAACAGAGTCTTCTACCACTGAAGGGTGGCTGTGGTAGCACAGTGGCTAGAGGTCTACAAAGAAATACACATTTTCTGTAACAATAGAAGGTGTCAGCTAAATCTTAATAATACTGGACAGGCAATCAATACAAAAAAGCACATATTTTTTTGAGAGTTGGTAATGGCAGTAATGGACACAAACTGGAATGTCGTACGACCAAATTAGCACACACTGCATAATGACAATTTACAATGTACTTATCTAGAAAAGTGACAATAAACAGGAATACTCTTAAATTAAAACACTTAAAAAAAATGACTAAATTTGGTTGAAATTGCATTAAATAAATGGTATCAACAGAAATGTTCTGGGAAGCAAAGCTGATTGAATGATGTTGAAATCCACTTCCGATCAACTACAGCTTGGTCTATGAAAATACAGAGCTTGTTTACTGAACTTAACCCTGTGCCTTGAGATGTCACTAATGTATCACTGTCCATTACAAATCCCCATATATTTAGGCTCAAAGGAGGTAATCCATTTAATTCACCATTCCATTCATGCTTATTGATCACTCAACTTCACATATTTCTAAAAGAATTGAAATGCGCATAAACAAAATTTATTAGTGACCTGTGTAAAACTTTTTTTTAGAGTCCAAGGGTAAAAAGATAAATGTTACATACAGTACTGTAATAGACCAAATCCAGTTTCTGGGGTGTGTTTGTGTTATCTAAAATTCTTTCCTTTACGACAGTAAAGGTTCCAAGCGGCTCTGTGGCTTAGGTTAGCAATTTGTTCTCTGGTTTTCAGACAATTGTACAAGAGTTGTGCCGCGGAGGAGATGGAAGCCTCACCACATAAATTTCGCAGAGGCAACAGTAGTATTCTGTAGCCGACCACTCACTTGTGGAGATGGCACCAATATTTATTTACTATAGGTCCTAAGCATTTAACCCCCTTCTGTTACAACATGAAAAATGCATATTCTCACGAATCTAGCCCCCCCCCCCCCCATATTTTCTATAAATTATTCATCTGGCTCTCTCTTCTCCGTGTGTTTTTCAGTCTCCTTCGCCCAATGAATTCAAATGCATGGATTTCAAATTATTCTGTTACCAGGTTTCTTAGCACCAGCATCTATTCCCCACCTCCTGATTTTGTTTCGTGGTAAGAGACATTATGATCCAGATCAAAAATTACTTTTATCCACAAAACTTTATGGCAAGAGTGGGCAAGGACACAAATATAAATATTTCTGGTAGTTAAGGGTCTCACAATTACAAAAAATCTTTGACATTCTTTTTCTTATAGTCCATGTCATGTGGCAATGATGGTCATATCTGTTTACAACCTTCTGTCTCGCATACTTTTAATCAATTCTAACAATGATCTTTCACCTCAGTCTCCCACCACCACTTTTCACCTGCAGCTTTACCACTGTGATGATGTACTCCAGTCTTCTCTTTCACAGACAGGACCAAAGACATTATAATAACAGAATAATCAGTAGGACACACAAGAATAAACAGCAATATAATAAATATAACAATCAATACAGACAAACTCCCCTTTAGTGAACCAACTGCCTAGTCCCATTTTCTTTCATCTTTTTTTAATGTTTTCAATACATTGACACCTTCTTAAACCAACACAATAAAAAGTAAAAGTAAAGTAAAGATCCCTTTCCACACCTTTAGGCGTATCGGGCATATGGGAAGAGCACCTATATTTTTACAGACCATCAGCAATCGGTGGGTAATGTAGTCAGCATTACGCCGGCTGTCTTTACTTTCCCAGGACAGCCCATCCTGGTACCCATTCTAGGCTGGGTCAACCTGCGACGTTCCGCACCACGATAAAAATCCATGCAGCCTGCAGTGGGTTTCGATCGCGGTACGTTGGATTACGAGTCGGATTCGCAACACCTTAGCCACGGACGCTAAACCAACACAATGTCCACACTCAATGCTTGTTGAGCACGTCTTTTCAGGCTTTCAACCTTTTGCTTCTTCTTCTCCCCTTCCTTTTTTACTGCTTTCAGTATCGAGGGAGATAAAAGGTTCTGCTTCTTGCTCGTCTGCCTGCCTCGACCACAGACAAATCATGATGGAGTTTCTCTGACATTATTTTTTCTATCTTGTTCTTGGTCTACCTCATCTTCTTTGTCAATGATCTTATTTAGTGTATGCCTTGTATAGTACGGCAATACAAGGTATTCTCTAAGTAGACACACCCATCAATTTGCTGTCCTTGCATGGAAGTTAGAATTGGTTTTGTGCCGACTTTGTTCTGCTGACCTCATTCCTGATTTTATCTTCTCTTGTTACACCTGCAGCCCTCCTCAGAAATCTTATTTCTATGGTGACTAATTTTCCTTTCAACCTTTAACCAACGGTGCTATACCAAAGGCAGCAGGAAAAACGCGACACCTCCCAATCAAACGAAAACACAAAATCTGCGCATGTCCTCATTTCGATCAGCTGTCTATTTTTATTTTATTTCATGTGTCTCACAAATATAGTATCCAGTACAACATTTCACATCAACTATAAATTAAAATCATCTGAACATAGGATGAACATTAAATGACATCCGTACATAATAAAAATTGAATATACAAATTAATGACCTTTTCTACATTTTGGAACCAGCCATAATCTATTTCTTATGTATTATTATTAGGAAAGGAACCTTTTTCACATATTAGGTATATATTGCTAAACATGTAGTTTGTATAGGCCAAAATGGCGAGCGTTGGCCACCTTTACTTCCCAGAGCATAACCTGGTACTCTTTAGGCTAGGTCTACCTACAAAGCAAGGCCGACTTCAAAAAAAAAAAAGCCTTAATGTGGATGTTAACCCCCAGGCTCTTAGGTGTGCATCCAGCCAGCACAATGATTACTGCTTTTATTATACATTAATAACAGCTGAATTTGTATAAATATAAAAAAGCTATTGTTTTAGGTCTCAAATGTTATAATTAATCTACGAAAAAATTGCACTGAAATCAAGTTTCAGGTTTATATAAAAATGTATAGTAAAAGAGTGTAAAACTGACAGCAAAAAACTCGTCTTTACCTAAAATGTGACAAGTAATAATTGATGATTTGTATAAAGAATAAACTCAAAATTAATGTATTTTTTATCTAAGTAAGGTAACCACTGTAAAAAAAAGTAGAGTAATAAACGACTTTATGAAACTAAAAGGAGACAAAAATATTACCATAAAAAAATGTTTTTAAGCATTTTAAAGAAAAAAAATTTGGCACTGCTGCTGCAACCAAGGCTTTAATTGCATCACAGAAAAGAAAGTGAATGAGGTAAATCACTGCAACATTCACAATTTTGGCAAAACAAATAAACACCAAATTGGGTTAAGGCCATAGGAGTTAGAGAACAGTGATAATAATACTATAAGAAATGTAAAGGATGGGATGATCTTTAATTTCTTCAGCAATCTTTGGTTGTGTGCTAAATCCACCAAGGGTCCCTTATTGGAATGTCAGCTCAAGGTATCGTAGGCTCCCCCAAAGCTTAGTTAACAGGTCTACTAGGTGTGTCCACATGTTGCTTAACAGCTCCTCCAAGACAGGATAATCTTCTAAGACATGTTCTTTAATTTGTCTACAATGTCTAGTGCGAAAAATTGTGACTTTTATTCTGATGGATGACAATGAATAATGTTGTGATAACCAAACTTACAACCACTCATCACATAAACTATATATTCTGCCAAGAACATAAAATGAACAAATATATAAGAATGAAATCCTCTAAAGAGTAAAAATACATTGCATATCTACACAAAAAGTTCAGTGACAGGCATTAACATTTGGAGTATAATATTATACACACAAAAAAATTAGTATTAGGTACAGCAACAACAAAAACTACAATCTTAGGTTAATGCATAATTAAATAAAAACTACTTTTCCTGTCTAATCTGCACCCAGTCACAGCTTCAGCTGCGCAGTATTTTTGATTTTGAACCTTTCAAGTGTAAAAATCTACATATTTAAGATAAAATGATGATGGGTCTAGTCAGTAACCATCCATATCTACTGTAAATTTCTACAAAACTAGTGCAATTAAAACTTGCGGAAATCTTTCCATATAAATACAGGTTATTCTTTGCAACTAGTCATAAGGTAATACAAACTGATTTACTATGACATTTAGATGAAACTGCCGACCCTAAAATTGCAACACTAGAAACATGGATTGATTTAAGTTTGAAAAACTAGCTACCCTACTACATAGCAGACAAATGACTGACATTTGTTTACAATGTGTGCCGATTATTTAGTTTGCCAAAGCAGTGACTAAGAAGGTAGGTAAATTATGATGAGCATACCACGATTTTCATTATATATTAATCAATAAATATGAGCTTGAATTTGTTTCGATTCTGAAAGTTGGATTAGTCTGCAGCAGTGGCGGCTCGTAGCTAAAATTAGTGGGAGTGCTGCTTCAGAAAATGTGTAGTCTTTGTTAAATTATCACCTTTCAAGCCTGATCAACTTATTTAAAAACAAAATCCATTCTTACTTCACTTTGCAGGAAAAGATTAATAAAACGGGGTCAGCCAAAACTGTGCTTGCAACAGTGCCGCTCTAGCTTTTGTGTAGCTTCTTTTTTTGTGCATGTGAAAAACAGCCAAAATATGGTTGTAATTGGAGCTGTGAAAGGCACAGTTCCATATAAGGATTCTAAATTTTTTTAGGGCTTATATAATGCTCAAGTACTGATAAAGAATTAAAGAAGAAGACTCATATTGAATGTTATCAATAATACAGAGTGAAAAATAGGGGGTGTTGCAGTTCTACAGCACCTATGCATGAGCCGCCACTGGTATGCGACTGGAAACCATATAACCCAATTCCTAGCAGTCTTAATTTCTCATTATTATGAAAGAAGAAAGTAAAAAAGCCAGAATGCTGCAGTAGTGCATAAACAAGACCCTGGTATAGATTGCTTCACTTGTAATGTGTGTACTGGATTGGTTTCACCAGCTGAGACAGAGCTTCGTGGATCTGTGGCCATAGCTCGTTGGAATATTTGCCTGTGAACTCCTCCACCATTCCCTTGTTTCTGCAATCATTAACACCAGTTTCATAAAATTTTAAAACATACAAAAAATGTTTACAGAAAATCAAAGCAATGTTTCCCTGCTGTGAATCTGAACTTCCCAGGACATCCATGTTTGCCGACAGTAGGATCATGATCTCAAGGATGAGAATCAAACAGGGGCAATACTGGAAACCCTGTTTAGCTGTCTAGTCATACAGCACAATTATACTGAGGCTCTACAAAATAGTCACAAAGTAACGCCTAGTTCAGTGTGGATGGGTACTGGTGATGAGTGAGTGATTGTAGCCGTTCGCCAGCAGTCACCACTGACCTTTAAAAGCCCATCCACAACATAAAATTACGATAGGCTTACTGTTAAGAAGTTGAAATGGTGATTTAATCGTCCTATCTTTACCATCAAACTATCTTCTTTTTCTTCTTCAGCATTCTGAGCCTTTGGGGTTCATTGCTGCAGATATCACCCACCTCCATTAATCTCTCTGATTGGTCTTCTCCTTCCAGTTGGTGACTCCAAGTGTTTGCAGGTCTGTCTGGACATTATCTCTCAATTATCTTCTTGGTCTGCCTCGTGGTCTACGACCATTAATTTCCCACGTGTATACAGTTTTCACTTCTCTGTCAACTACATTCTCTCAATACAGACCAATTCAGTCTATTAGCTCTCATGATGCCAGTTATCAATGGTGATTTAAACAGATTATGAATTTCGTTGTTGCTTCTCACTCTCCATACCCTGCTGTTTCTTTGATGGGTCCAAAGATTCGTTATAAGACTTTGTCTTCTTCATCTCGTCACGAAACAGATATTTAAACCTCGATGGATTTAAACAGACCATCAAATTATTCCCATCTTTAACATACAACTCTATCCTTACTGTAGAAGTGTCATAGTAGTCACATTATCCTTATTTATCACAAAACTACCTTAACCCCTACATCAGAGCATGATATCATCTTTTCCATATCCTTGTCAAACTATTCCACCCCCAACATGAAACTACTACTTACTGATAAAGCATAATTTCAATTAGTTTTTTTTCTTACCATCAAACATCCAGGTTCTCAACGCTAAGATGAAAAAACATACAACTACAATATAGGCTGTCTTGTTCAGTCAACACTTAGTTATTAGAATGAGGTAGTTATTCAAGGTTCGAACTTCATGGCAAACAACTTTTGTTGTCCTATATAAAAACAGAGCACTCTGTTCTTGAAGCTTGCACATGCAAAGTAAATGCATAAGGCACACACCAGATATGCCAACAGATCCCTACCAGCACTGAAGCTCACTGCTGATGGAATCAGTTAACCATGACAAGCCAGCATCCACACATGCAATAAAGTACACACCAGTCCAAACATGCAATTGTCCCCCAGCATTTTTGGTGCAGTTTACCACAACACAAAATCGCTGCAAGCACTGAAGAATTTAACATGCTACATAAAATCCACAGCTCACAGTGTCACACCAAGCACTAAAATTATAATTATACATAATAAGGCAGCCTTTACCAACCTGAAAAACTGTAAGACAGGATGTGTAAGCCGCCTGTAATGCTCAAGTCGAGCTTTCACAGTCTCCTCTTTGTCATCTTCCCGCTGTATTAAAGGCTCCCCAGTCACATCGTCAATTCCCTGTGAAATTTTGATAATCCCCGACTCTTACTTACATACAATATAAGTACAAAATACAGGACAAAGTGTAAGTTGAATATTCCACTTAATGTTTTACAAACCTATCCACTCATTTAAGCTCAATTTTTCTGTTCAGAAAGCCCAACCTCGTTATTCTACAATGGAGTCATTATATCTAAACTACAAATGTAGAATGACATATTATGACTAGTTAATATTTTGATTTTCTTCTTTCAAAAAAAACGTGTCTTTTTAAGAGTGAAAAATCACCAGATGTATCCATATATATTGTTAGTGACTAGTGTACCCTAAAAATGTCTGGAACCAATTCTATCAAGAAGGGTTGATAGTTGTTTTGTAACAAGCAATATCATTTGATCAAAAGCATTTTTATCCAAAGACATCAAATCCATCACGAGAGTGCAAAAGGCTCGCTTCTAATTCGCTTATCTTACCTCTCCACATGGAATTCCAGGAAAATTTGACTAAAAATCTTAACTAAATGAGGAAGCTGACAAACATGCACTAAACAACACATTTTGCTTCCTCATTAGGTTATATTTAAAATGAGTTCCGTGTACATTTTTCTAAAGACCTGATCTTTTAAAAATGTCTTTATTTTACACCAAATGTCCATACAAATTCATGCACATCAAATGTTTGACATTAAATTTTACAATGGTTTCGTTCACTCAGCATAGATTCCAACAGTTTCAATAATACAGTCCCACTGTGTTAATTGTCTTGGCTTGTAAAATTGTGGACAAATCTTAGAATGTCCAAAGTTGTTTGCAGATGCTGAGATTTAGTCATGAAATGAAGACGCTGGCAACCTTACCTCAGCCAACTCAAGCCAGCATAGACTTGTTCCTGATTACCTGGATTTGACAACTAGAGTTCTCTACTGGATGAGGTAGCCAGTGACACATCATCCCACATAGTCACTTCTTACAACACACATGGAAGGTTACAGAGTTACTATTGGTTTCTTCCCTTATGGGCTATGGACAGCAAAGGCTCCCTATGCTAACCAAAGTCCACACACATACACAATTACATGTGTGTCAGAGCACCAACTGGCCAGATAGGCATGTGTATTAATGCCAGAGATACTACAGTTAAGTGATTTTTGTGTATTCTTATTTGTAATTGCAATACTGTCTATTCATGTAATCAATCAATGCTTTGCTGGGATAAAAATCATCATGTTCAACTAGCATCCCCAGAAGGGGAAGCTTTAGGGTAAAAATTGTAATGAGGTTATGGGCAATATATTAATGGCTATTAATTAGACAGTTTTGAAAATAAATGCCTTAGAAGAAAACTAAACTTCAAATGGTCAGATTTCCGAACCAATACACAAAAAAGGCAAGAATATGTGTCTAATTTTATACGAAAACGCCGCTGGAACTATGTCGTCCACGCCCTTAGAATGGATAAATCAAGACTTCCTTACCAAGCCCTCATTTGGACACCACAGGGGAAAAGATCTCGTGGAAGACCAAGGGAAACCCTACGTAGAACTATCATCAGGGAAGGCTCGCTCATGGGCCACTCAAACATCCAAGACCTACAACGGATTGCAACGGACCGCCGTGCATGGAGAGTCACGACCTCTGCCCTATGTGCCGCACTCGACACAAGAGGAAAGACTAACTAACTAATTAGCATTGCACGCCACCAAAAGCCCTAAAAAGACACCTGCAGTGTCAATGTGATCAAAGAAGACAGACCCAAATACTGTCTCAACTGACAGTCGAAGTCGTTTACCGCCGAGCCAATAGGTGTCCTGGTCGTTGATGCTGATGTGATCCATGTAATATTCTGATTAAGGCTTTCCAGCCACAACATTCCTTTGTTCCTGATGATGACAAGCTGACTGGTTCTACTTTCCTTTTGATTTTATATCTTTTACAACATAACAAAATTATAAATGCTGAAAGTGCACAAGGAATGTGGACGTTGTGCTGAACACACTTTGCTATTGAAGAGAGGTCAGAGATGCGATCACTTATGCTAGTCATAAAGGTACTAGATGTTGATGATGACAGAGACAAGTGCAAAAGGTCCACACTACTTAAAGCTGTGAGACAAGTGTTTCTTGAGATTAACAGGCAACAGAGGTTTCCACGGGTATTGTGAGATGCAGGTGGGACTGGCCACTGAAGGTGAACCCGTGTCTAAGTCACTACCTCTTGCTCAGTGAGATAGTGCGATCGTGTGTGACCTTATTTGTAATTATGAGTACTATTTTATTCTGTTGGAAAGTTTGGACTGTTCAGTGGAATTTGGTGTATGATTCGGAATACTACAGATGAGTCTAGTTATAGGAGACGAGGCAGTGAGATCCCTACACTTTCTGATGTGTTATTTGACCAATTATACTTAGCAGTGTTGGTCAGTGCCAATGGATATTATACATATAACTTTGCAGGTCTTTTGTTAGCAGTATTTTTTTATCTGCTACCCCGCAAGTCAGTTTGCTTTCCCAGCAATATTTGCAGTTGTAGGCTATCTGTGACTTCTGGAGTGGACATAGCAGATGTGATATTATAGGCTATTGGTGACCTCATGAGTGGGCACATAGCCGAATGCAATATTATAGGCTACTGGTGACCCCTGGAGTGGGCACATAGCTGAATGCTATATTATAGGCTACTGGTGACCCCTGGAGTGGGCACATAGCTTATGCGATATTATAGGCTACTGGTGACCCCTGGAGTGGGCACATAGCTGATGCAACATTATAGGCTACTGGTGACCCCTGGAGTCGGCACATAGCTGATGCGATATTAAAGGCTACTGGTGACCCCTGGAGTCGGCACATGGCTGATGCAATATTATAGGCTAATGGTGACCCCTGGAGTCGGCACATAGCTGATGCGATATTATAGGCTTCTGGTGACCCCTGGTGTGGGCACATAGCCGAATGCGATATATTAGGCTACTGGTGACCCCTGGAGTCGGCACATAGCTGATGCAATATTATAGGCTACTGGTGACCCCTGGAGTCGGCACATAGCTGAATGCGACATATTAGACTACTTGCGACCCCTAGAATGGGCACATTATTGATGCAATATTAAAGGGTACTGGTAACCCCTGGAGCAGGCACATAAGTGATGCAATTTTATAGACAACTGTGGGCCCATAGCCGAATGCGATATTATAGGCTACTGGTGACCCCTGGAGTGGGCACATAGCTAATGCAATATTATAGACTACTGTGGGCCTATAGTCATGGACTCCCATCAAGTTGAGGCTAGGTGTCACCTTATAAGGTGACTACTTGGAAATATACCAATGTGAATATGGGAGTTGAATACTGCACAGGACAGGAAAGCATGGAAAGTCCTCTCTGAAGCCACATGTGCCACTAGGCATAACGAGAACTGATGATGATGATGTATATGGGAGTAGCAGACGGACAGTAGTTCTGCAATCACCAAATCATCTTTGTCGCAATGTGTTAATCCAATAAAGAGACTGATGCACTATTACAGAGATGACTTTTCATGCATTTGTGTTGACAGGGTTCTACTAGCGTTGGTGGTATGTTGTCAACTAGGAAACTTCTGTATACAGGGGGAAGCAGGGTCATCACCCTTGACCGTTGCCAGAGATGCGATACACTCCCCTGTGTCACATATTACAAACACCTTGCTTAAAAGATTCTAAATACTTTACACCAATACTAACAACGACTTACTGGAACTTTAGGAGGATTGAATTCTGTGTGATAAATTCGCCCACTTCCAGGATGAGTCCAGCGGCCTTTGATTCTATCAATGATGACATCAAATGGCACCCGCAGATTCAGGACCACATCAATAGGGTAATCTCGCAGAAGTGCATGAGCCTGCTCCACAGTTCTGGGGAAGCCTGGAAAATATGCAAAGAAGAAATAGACAACAGTATTTAAAAAAATAAACTTTCTCACCATGTAAGTAATGTAAAGGATCCGTTTTCATGCAATAAAGGAGACTGGACATATAATGCTTGCCTCAGATTCTTAAAGACCAATATGTACTCAGGGGGCAATGCAAACATTAGTGGCTGCCTTTATATTATTCCCTTGTACTCATTTCAGGTTGGCAGACCTGGCAGCAAAGTAAAATATGGAGGAGAAAAATAATATTCTTACCATCAAGTAACCAGCTAGCATGGGATAACAGTGAAAGCTCCTGTGATACCATACGCAACATTAAATTATCAGGAACCAGTTCTCCTGCTTCCATGTATCGCCTTGCTATTAATCCATTGGCTGCAGAAACAGTAACGTTAGAAATGCATTAGACACAATATTAATGGAAAAAAAGGGGGAGGTGGAGGGAAGCACACTTTAACATTTTCAAAGCTGACTTTCTTTTTAAATTTTCAACCATTTAGTCCTGAGATGCCCCATTTAATCTTGTATCATATCATTTCAAATCCCAGGAAAAGCCACCAACAGACAGAGGCTGAAAAAATCCAGCAGGTATGTGACCTAGACAAGATCAGCCATGGAAGAATGGGTGGATACACCAAAAGACATGCATGACTTGTCCAAGACTGTCAACACATGAGGAGGTGCTGCAGGAACCAGACACCTCCCCCCATAGACAGTGAGATAAGGACACTGGGGTGATCAGCATTCATGCCCAGAAGACATCTACACAGATGGGTCTATGAAACATTGATCAAGGTCAGAATGGGTATTTACAACACTAAGGATAAGAAAAAGATAGCGATTACCAGGCAAGTACGTCAAGCATGACCGTGCAGATAACTGCTGCTTCCAAAGCACTCACATGGCAGTAAACGAAGAAGTCATAAATATAGTCATCGTATCAAACTCAATCAATGTGCTTCTGAAAATCCCAAAAAGTAGTCTACACTCTGAACTGATGGGTAGAAACAAAATCAGAAGTGGCAGGTGACCTTCATCACCTGGATCTACAAACCTGAGTATGCAGGAGTAAAAGGTCATGAATAAGTTGGCAGGCGATGTACCAATGCATATAGGAAGAAGAATGGATAGAGCTGATATCATCAACTCAGTATATAGAATAGACTGGCGGATGGTGAGAAATCTCTGCTTGGCCTGTGATTAAAGCTCGGTCAAGCTCAAACAAACCTTGCTGTCTTCAATGCCAGGATATAATGTGACACTATAAGCGCTTCCAAAGGGAACAATGAAGAGAGGTACCTTGGAGTGGCTGCTGTATTAGAGGACGGAGAATGCATGAAATGCCCACTGTCCATTTTAACATCATAACTAAACAGTCACTGCTGCACTGGTATATCTTTGAGAAGCTTACTGAATGCATTGGTTCTGTTTGCACCTTTGCAGTGTTGAGGATGACCAGGTATATTCACTTGAAATAGCAAGGCAGGGGAAAAAAAAAAGGGGGGGGGGGGGGGGCGATGTATTGTAGGGGAAAGGGGTTTGAAAAGCTATAATGTTATGACATCAAAATTTTCCTAGTCGTCTTAGTAGTCACACAGTAATAGTGTTTGGGTCACAAGGTAAGTATGAGTAAAATCCCCCCCCCCCCCCCAAAATGACATACCATTTACTTTTCCACTCCATTTGTGTTTACTAGTTACTCACTTTTTAAAATGTGATTGAAGAAAACATTTTATTTTTAATGTGTAAAAATAAAACAATTTAGACAAATTAGTGACCTGTGTAAATAAAAAAAAAAAATTCTTTTTCAAGTATTTTTCCCCCCCTGCATCTACTGAATTCAATTTTTTTTTTAAATAAGGGTTTTCGGACAAATATTTTGATTAATAATGAAGTCATTTTTAAAGAGGATGTAGGATAACCCTAGGCCAGTTAGTCAGAAAAATAAATAATGCTGCCTCTGCCGAGAAAATCTCACTACAACTGACTGCGGCTATCCTACAAATAACGGCCCCAAATTATCAAGGCCCAAAATATCGCTAACAGGGAATCAGTCACATGTAAATTGCGGACTTCAGAAAACTTAAATTGCGGACTTCCGGCGAGAGTATCTCCTGTGCAGCTACACGCAGGTATAAACTAGATGGCTGGGATTCACGAGCAGCAGCAGCTACTGCATCTCTTGCAGCTTAGCTCCCTTCATTTTATTTTTGCTCGTGAGTCCCAGCCATCTAGTTTAGCCCCATTCCGTACCGTGCGTAGCGGCACGGAAGATATTCTCGGCGGTGGGCGGTAGTTCGCCCAAAGGCTGCAATTGCAATTTACATGTGACTGAGGCCCTGTTAGGGTATATTTTCGGCCTCGATAATTTGGGACCGTTATTCGGAAGATAGCCGTGACTGCTGATGTCGAGAAAACTTGGCAGGCAGGCATCATATACACAAAGTCACTCTAACATTATAATTACTGAAATTTACTCGGACTCTGCTACCATTACCACAAGTTTAAGTTTAAAAAAAAATATAGTTAGAATATCTGTTTTAATGCAGCACTGCATTACTCCCTCCCCCCCCCCCCCCCCCCCCCCAAAAAAAAAACATGCAAAGAAAGCCAATTTGTGTGTGTGTTATATGATGTGACAACCCTGTGTTATGTATGTTACTTTCACATTAAATTATATATGTTGGTGATGGTTCTTAGTCGCCTCGAATTAAAAATTATTACATTATTTTTAAGAGCCCACAATGGCCCACATTCTTGAACAGAAATTCATCTGTTACTAATACTTAGTAATAGTATTAATTTATTAGATATCATGTGTTGAAAATACCAAATGAGGCAAATGCACTTTACTGTCTTTACTTCATAATTTAGTCAGGAGTATCATATTTATATGCAGAGCGACCACTTTTGCCACATGGCATTGTTTAAATAATTTCTCAGTATGATGACCGACCATAAAACAATAACATCTGACAACTACGATTTTTTGTACCTGTTTTTTCGTTGACGTGTTTTCGTAACAGATCGCCGCTGGAAATATGCTTCACTCCAAAATCTTGTACGATACGAGCTGAGATCGTACCCTTACCAGAGCCCGGGGCTCCCATGATGATCGCTCGAAGCAACTTTGTGGCTGCCATGTTGAGACTAACGTAAAAAGTTGGGATACTAACGAGGCTAATTTCAATCACTTCAAGACGACGTTTGATCAGCTGGGCCCGGCCGCCATAACTATACAGTTTTTCTAATCAACTGTGGGTAACTTTCAGATTTTAGAATTCATAAACGTGCATTCTGTTAACTCAGAGAAAAACATAATTATCTATGAAATCAATATATTCTGTAACTTCAATAAAAAATATTTTGGTTAGACAACATAAAATAAGTCGGTGAAATTTGATTTTATTTGTTTTGAAACTTCCCAAAATTGTGTTCCTAACTGGCAATAGTCCAACATCGAGATACAAAATCCAACCTTGTGAACTTTGCCCGGTAAAACTACAGAACAAAAAATATTTGGGAAGATAACATTCAGACATTCTTTGACAATAGACATATTTTCTTGCTAGGAAATAAACGTCGAACACTTATAGTTTTTGTATTTTCATAGCATTGCTGTTATTTTGTTGTATATTTATAGTCAGCATAAAAACGACAATTCTACTTATTGAATGTCTTGTAAATATAAACCATCTTTGAGTATTTAAAAGTGCAAGTCAAACTTTACGGGTCGCAGAGGGAATTACAAAAGACAGTGAAGTTCATACTAGAGATAACATTGCAGATATAAATAATCTATTTCAATCGAACGAAAGAAGAAGTATTTAAAAGCTTCCACCGGCTGTAACCTCCAGTTGAAGGTTATGGTTTTTTCGTTCACTTCTGGACTTTGATCTTCTTTCTGGGCTTAAGTTTGGCGTGCTCATCCGTTTTACATATTTGTCTTATTTATATACAGATTGTTGCGTCCTCACTTTTCTGACAGAGACACTTTGGCTTGTAATGTAAAAAAAAAAAAAAGGGAGTGAGGAAAAAAAGTGGATAAACAAGTAGGTGGCTTTCACACAGCAAATAATAAATGTGTTGTCAAGTACGTATGTGTGAAATCCTAAAACAAGCAACCTTTCATTTGTCCTAACCATTAAATATCAACCTTTGCATAGAACACCCCCCCCCCCTTTTCCCTTTTTTTCTGCTTTTTGATTATTTCTATAGATGCTTATGATAGTTTAAAATAGCAGGGGGGGGGGGGAGAGGGGGGGATAAATATGCCAGTAATTTAAGCTTTATAGACTAGACTACAATCTGATGAGTCTCCCGACTGCCAACAAAATCTAAACAGAAAGACCAAACCAGCTACACAATGGCTGCACACAAAGGCAAGACGCGCAGACACAAATAAAATATGGGGTGACCTTTTTCAAACAGCTAAGTATAAATGTCTTGCCATCTATGTGTGAAATCTTACCGAAAAAAATGTTGCAATTATCTTAACCTTCACATTTCAATCTTGTGAACTTTGTCCTAGAATAATATCGTGTTTCACTCTCTCTCTCTCTCTCTCTCTCTCTCTCTCTCTCTCTCTCTCTCTCTCTCTCTCTCTCTCTCTCTCTCTTCCTCTTTCTCTCGCTCTCCACCCCCCCCCCACTCTTTTTTTGGAACCTGCATTTCAAGTATTTCTGTTGCTACTTCGGATATTTTAAAATTAAGCACATTTGAGGAAATAAATATGCCAGTATTTTAAGCGTTACAGCCTACAGTCTGAGTCTCCTCGCTGCCAACAGAACCCAACAAGAAAGACCTGGCCAGTTTTACGAAACTAAAATTTATCCTGCGGTGGTATGTTGTTTCTATTGGTTACAAAATGAGGAAACGAGACTAATATTCGGCTGCACAACAACAAGGCAAGCGCGCAGACAGATAAAAAATGGGGAAAGGGGGGGGGGGGTGTTTTCCTCCCGCTTGTCATTCCTAATTGCTAAGCAAAAGGGGGTGTTAGCTCGAAGGGCCTAATTCTAGTTGAAGAGCATAATAATAATGTTTTGAATTATAATGCACAAAATAGATTTATAATATAAATCTATAAACACACACTTTTAAACATAATTTCTGCACATAGTTAAACAGGGCTACTTAGCCTATTAAAAATATTGGGGTGGGGGAAGGGTGTACCAGTACCCTCTCCCTCTCCAGTACCCTCTCCCAAAGACGATTGGGTGGGGGGGGGGGGGCAATGGGTGCCTCAGTGGTTTGAGAAAACCAGTTAATCAATTCTGCAAGGATGGCGATACAAATGAATATCTGACGCTAACGCGATTGCATGACCTGTCTGTAAAGCTTGGCGAAGCACATCTATGCCGTTTTCAAGGTCAAGATAGGATTAATTATAGCGGAATTCTCATGGGAACAACCAGCAGAGGTACCTTAGTGTGGCTGTTGCATCCAGGACTGTTGGCAGCCTTCAACTCTGTTCTTATACTGCACGTTGTTTTTTTTTTTTTAAATACTTGTCTATCTCACTTTCTCTATAATTTCTTGTTCACTTTTGTGTCCTCCAAGGGAACATGGGCAGATAATAAACTCGTCCCATGTCCTTCTATCCATTGCCATCCCCTGAAAGTCACTCAGTGTATTCTCAGCCTCTGATTATCTTCAGTGTGTGAGTGCGTGTATGTGTGTTTTTGTGAGCATGTGTGTGTGTGTGTGTTTATTTTTTATCTTTTCCCTCTTGTGTTCAAGTGCGAGGGGGCTCTAGTTAAAATTATTAGGTTTTCTCACTGAACGTCTTTTCCATCGCCAGCATCTTTTCATTAAATCTGGATTCACTGAAATATGTTGTTTTCCCAATGCTCCATATTACTGAATCCATCAAGTCATTATCACATTTAGGAGAGTGGGGTAACGGTTTTGCAGAATTAGGGGTACAACAATTGATAGACTAAAAAGCTGGGTTAGATGATGCAGTAGTGTACATCGATGGTTCAGTTCATCATGTTGTAAGAACTGGCTGGGGATTTTTAGCTAGATCAGGGCAGAAGAAGAAACAAGTGGAGTTCCCCCCCCCCCCCAACCTCCTTTTTTTAAAAATTTTGTTCACAACTTCCAACATAAAAATGGAGGTGAAGAAAATCACTGCAACTCTGAGGTGGACAGCGGAAAGCAAAGTTACCAGAGGAGTTATTGTGTATGATTCTTAGTCGCTACCGCAGAAGTTTCAAAATGGACAAATGTGTCATGAATGGATACCAAGCATCAGCACGTCTATACTGCAGGGATTCACGTGGATGTACTGTTCGGGATGTGCAAGAGTGCGAGGGAATGAAAGAACGGATACAAATAATAAATCAGATTTGTCATGTTATTCAGTTCTGTTTATTCTAGGTACTTTTTAACGAGTGGCCGTAGTTTATCAGTAATTGTTTTACTCGCTTTCTAGGCTTCTGCTCTATACAACAGTACCGATTTGATATTACAAAGAAGTTTTGTATGTTTGACGTTAGTTTTAATTTACCGTGGCCACCATTTGAGAAATCTCTTACCGTTGTTTGTTCGTATTCCCCCCTCCCACTGGTCTCATGCCGAGGTGTTGCGGCTGAATGAAGGTCGTGGGTTCGGGTCCTGACGAAGCCTCACTATATTTTTCTTTCAAAAATGACTCTGGCTCCCAGATCGATGTAAACCAGAGGTTAACCATTTCACGTACCGAGTAATAGTTAGTCTATAAAGTTAAATATAGGTCTAGCCCTATATGCCCAATACGCTGAAGGCGTGGAAAAGGGCCCTTTACGTTTTAGGTCCTCTTTGGTGCTGTCTGTAACCACCCCCCCCCCCACTCGCACCCCACAGGGCTACTATATGAAAGATGATTACTTCTAACGTTTCAAGAGACTTATCCTTCGTGCCAGCCCAACATTGAGAATCTCAGACACCATGTTCAGCCCTAACGAATTCATAATTCTGGCATCTGTAACGGCTAGAGCTGGATGTTGTAGACTGCACTCCTGGGGATCATGGGCAGGCAGAACGTGTAATTTCCATGGTACTTGCTTGCTTGTTGTACCCCACCAAGACATCACACAAGCGATAAGCACCCGGTGACATAAAGTGCCACAATGCGGTTGAGGATCACATGTGAAGAGGTCTCATGAACCCATTACAGCCGTTATGGCCACAAATGTGGCCCATCTATATTCAGAGTCCCCGGCAAAAGCCAGGGTGGGGATTTAAATAACGAAAAATTACATCCTACAAACTTTAATTACTGCTTGTGCCATCTTTGGCCTCCTCTCATCATCATCATCATGTGCCCTGCCAACTGGCGTAGGTACTCATGCGTCTCCACGAATCACGATCTCTGGTTGCCTGGAACAGCTCTCTTGATGATTTTCCTCCATGCCATCCTTTTAGCCCATCCAGCATAATCTCTCTTGGTCTGCCTCTACCCCTTTTTCCACTGATCTTTTCAGACGTCACGATGTTCTCCAGTGTTTCTCTTCTCATTATGTGGCCAAAGAACAGTGTTTGTCTCTTTCTTGTTGATGTATATATAGATCTTTCATTAGCCGCTTTCAAGCAATAATGCTCACACAGAGGATTTGATCATTTACACAGATGGTTCAGTGTCAAGAGGCAAAAGAAGTGCTTGGGGCTTCTTAGCAAAAGTTAATGGTCGACATTTGGTGCAGGAGAGCCTAGCATATGATATCACAACATCCAGCTTAAGAATGGAGGTGGAGGCGGTCACTGCAGCTTTCCGCTGGCTAGAGAACACGACACATACACCCATATCGTGCTTGTAACTGACTCAGAAAGCATGCTGAGGAAGATCAGAACAGGTATGCTTCGTGCAGAGTGGTATGCTTCGCTGCGGAGGACACGGGGGAAGAGTATTGTCTGGATTTTTTTCACCGAGGCACGCCGGTGTGTTGGAAAATGAACAGCGGACAGACTGGCTGGCTCTGTACAACTTGGTGGAATACTGATACATGATAAGGCATACGTGGTTAGTGCTTTGTGGGGGAGCGTATACAGTTCGGAGGAGCAGATGGATCACCACAGTCTGGTGAGATTGATGCAGATGCTCGAGGCTCAGAGGAAAGGCAAGACGGACGTTCAAGCAGAATGCTACTGGCACCATTAG